CCCTTCTTCTCCCCCTTGTTCCTCCGTCAAGTTCCTCCTAATCCTCCTATACGTGCAAACATATGATATTTGTCCTTCTCTGCCTGACTTATTTCGCTCAGCATAACACCCTCAAGGTCCATCCATGTTGCTACACATGGCCAGATTTCATTGTTTCTCATCGCCATGTAGTATTCCATGGTATAGATAAACCACATCTTCTTGATCCATTCGTCTGTTGATGGACACTTAGGCTCTTTCCATGTTTTAGCTATTGTGGAGAGTGCTGCTATCAACATTGGGGTACATGTGTTCCTATGCCTCAGCATTTCTGTATCCCTTGGGTAAATTCCTAGCAGCGCTATTGCTGGGTCATAGGGGAGTTCTATTGTTAGTTTCCTGAGGAACCTCCACACTGTTTTCCAGAGGGGCTGTACTACAAACTTTCACTTTTTGCAGGCGACATGATACTCTACATAGAAAACCCAACAGACTCTTCCAGAAGCCGACTAGAGCTGAGCCATGAATTCAGCATAGTTGCAGGGTACAAAATCAACATACAGAAATCGGTGGCATTTTTATACACCAATAATGAAGCAACAGAAAGGGAAATCAAGACACTGATCCCATTCACAATTGCACAAAAAACCATAAAATACCTGGGAATAAACCTAAGCTAAGATAGAAGAGATCTGTATGTTGAGAACTATAGAAAACTTACAAAGGAAAATGAAGACAACACAAAGAAGCAGAAAAACATTCCATGCTCATGGACTGGAAGAAAAAATATAGTTAAAATGTTCTTACTACCAAAAGCAGTCTACACATTCAATGCAATCCCAAACCAAATTGCACCAGCATTCTTCTCAAAGCTAGAACAAACTATCCTAAAATTTGTATGGAACCACAAAAGACCCCGAATAGCCAAAGTAATATTGAAGAAGAATACCAAAAAGGGAGGCATCACCTTCCCAGACTTTACCCTCTACTACAAAGATGTCATCATCGAGACAGTATGGTATTGGCACGAAAACAGACACATAGACCAATGGAATAAAACAGAGAACTCAGACTTCGGCCCAAAAGTATATGGCCAACTAATCTTTGACAAAGCCGGAAATAGTATCCAACGGAAAAAAGACAGCCTCTTTAACAGATGGTGCTGGGGGAACTGGATAGCAACATGCAGAAGAATGAAACTAGATCAATTTCTCACACCATACACAAAACGAAACTCATAATGGATAAAGGACCTGAACGTGAGACAGGAAACCATCAAAACTGTAGAGGAGTATGCAGGAAACAACCTCCTTGACCTCCACCACAGCAATTTCTTACTTGACACATCCCCAAAGGCAAGGGAATCAAGAGCAAAAATGAACTCTTGGGACCTCATCAAGATTAAAAGCCCCTGCACGGCAAAGGAAACAACCCATAAAACTAATAGCAACGGACGAATGAACAAAGATAGTTGCAAATGACATATATGATAAAGGGCTAGTCTCCAAAATCTATAAGAAATTCACCAAACTCCACACCCGAAAAACAATCCAGTGAAGAAATGGGCAGAAGATATGAACAGACACTTCTTCAAAGAGGACATCCAGATGGCCAGCAGACTCCCTCCTCATCAGGGACATACAAATCAAAACCACACTGAGATTCCACCTCATGCCAGTCAGAGCAGCTAAAATGAGCAAATCAGAAGAGTCTAGATGCTGGCGATGATGTGGAGAATTGGGCACCCTCCTACATTGTTGGTGGGAATGTCAACTGGTGCAGCCCCTCTGGAAAACAGTGTGGAGGTTCCTCAAAAAATTAACACTAGAACTCCCCTATGACCCAGCAATAGCACTGCTAGGAATTTACCCAGGGGATATAGGAGTGCTGATGCATAGGAGCACATGTAGCCTAATGTTCATAGCAGCACTCTCCACAATACCCAAAACATGGAAAGAGCTTAAGAGTCCATCTACAGATGAATGGATCAAGAAGATGTGGTTTATCTATACAATGGAATACTACATGACAATGAGAAACAATGAAATCTGTACATGTGTAGCAACGTGGATGGACCTTGAGGGTGTTATGCTGAGCAACATAAGTCAGGCAGAGAAGGACAGATACCATATGTTTGCACGTATAGGAGGATTAGGAGGAACTTAACGGAACCGTTGGTAGAAGAAGGTGAAAAATAGTGGGGGAGAGGGAGGGAGACAAACCATGAGAGACTCTTGAATGCCGAGAACAAACTGAGGGCAGATGGAGTGGGGGGTGAGCGGAAGGAGGGTGATGGGCATGGAAGAGGGCACTTGTGGGGATGAGCACTGAGTGTTATATGGAAACCAACTTGACAATAAACTATTAAAAAAGTAGAAAAAACAAAAAAAAGTTAAAAAAATAAAATAAGCAAACAAACTTAAAAGAAAACTTTAAAAAGATGAGCAAACATTACTGATATATTTTAGCTTGATAAACGAGTGATGTCTTGCAATAGGAGTAGTACGTGATACCAATCATCACATGGTCACAACTGAGCCAAATGATTCTTGAAATTCAGTTTGATATACAGGTGGTTTGGATTACAAGAATGTTTCTGGAATGAATTATGATTGCAAACCAAGGTTTTGCTGTATAGGTTTTGGGCAACTCTGATCACTTAACCTAATGTAACTTTTCTATGTAATAAATTTATGTTAACTGTTCAGAAATGAAAAACAAATATTTCAGATGCGTTCCCAAGATATATTACTGAATATTTCTTTTAAGGCAAATCTAGATTTTCCTTCCCTATTGAAAAACTGTGTTCTGGCTGCCTAGATTTTTATGTTTGTGTAGGTCTAGTAAACAGAAAGTAGGCTTCAGTTATTTTTTGTAGTTCACTAGCTTTTACTTCCTTGACGAGAATATTGTGAAGATTGATTTGAGAAATGAAAGATGCTGGTATAGTAGTGTAGTTTTGTTTGAAAACCACAGTACATGAAATAGTCTGTTTTATTTCTTTAATTTATTTATTTTAAAAATTTGAGTATTGTTGACACACAATGTTACATTAATTTCAGGTGTACAACATAGTGATTCCATAGGTTTATATGTTATGCTATGCTCACCACAAGTGTGGCTACCATCTGTCACCATACAGTGCTATTTCAATATCATGGACTATATTCCTTATGCTGTGCCTTCTATTTGCAGGACTTATTCATTCCATAACTGGAAGCTTGTATCTCCCACTTGCCTTCACACATTTTGCCTATATACCCCTATCTCCCTCCTCTCTGGCAACTATCAGTTTGTTCTTTAAATACGGCCTGTTTTAAATGGTGTGTGTGTGTGTGTGTGTGTGTGTGTGTGTGTGTGTGTGTAGTTTTCTGAGTTTAGGGAATATTTATATATAAAGAATACAGACCTATATTCTTGCCATTGCTCAGTTTTTGTTTATATTTTAGCGAGTTACCTGTAATATGATAAAATTGTGGTTACTCTAAGAAACCAAATGTCATTTGTGTCAGGGATATTTCATTGCTTTTTCCTGTCAGAGAAAGTAAATGCAGCTTGGGAGAAAAGGGGATAGTGGTTAATGGTATACTGAGATAATATATGCTTGTATATGCCATTTTGATGCTGTGTTGGGGGGATATTTTAGGTATGCTGTGGATGGGGATTTTTAAATACATAAACTATAAATCAGCCTGTTCAGTCAGATCATTTAACTTATATGGGGTAGAACAATACTAGTGTTTTATATAGAGAAAAAAATGTCAGCCTTTTAACATGCCCTTTTTGGTTGGTTTGGTGGGAAGGTGCAACCCTAGATTATTATTGCTTGGACATCTCAGGATATAAAAGTTGACCAGAAGGAAATGTACAGGAAAATGATAGAAAGATCTATGGAATAAAGTATTTGATTGGGAAAAAAAAATCAGGCAAAAGGAACAAATTATCAATACTTTTAGAAAGAAGTCTTAGAAATTAGGTTATGCGTTCTTGAAAACAATGGCCAAAGTAGAGGATTTGTTTGTTTGTATCATAATCATTCCAAAATGGATTAGAGACAAAGTAGATGGGTTACTTATCTTGGTTACCTGGGTTTACAATTTTTTTAATGTTTATTCATTGTTTTGATAGAGAAAGAGTGCAAACGGGGGAGGGGCAGGGGTAGAGAGAGAAGGAGACACAGAATCTGAGGCAGGCTCGGGGATCTGAGCTGTCAGCACAGAGCCTGATGCGGGGCTCAAACCCATGAACTGTGAGATCATGACCTGAGCCTAAGTCAGCCACTAAACCAACTGAGCCACTTAGCCCCTCCCCAGCTCCTCCCCAGTTACCTAGGTTTTAGATCAAGGTGAATGGAGAGGAGAATGGGAAAAATCTGGTTTTCTTACTGTGAAGTTTTTCTTTTAACTTGAGCTGTAGGCTTGCTGACATCTTGCACGGGGAGCTTCATTCATTTCCTGATTGAATAATATATATTTGGGCGGCTTGGTGGGAGAATGTATGATTTTTTCAATTCCTGTCTCTTATGTTGATATCAAGTAAGCATTTTCAACAGTATTGAGTCATTCCATTTAGGTTCCTGTATGCAAGTGAAAAATATCTTGCTTTAGTAATAGTTTGTACATGTATATACTAAAAGCCTAAAAGCTATATGTGTTAAGTAATATTTTACCTTAAAGCTCTAATCTGGACTAAAACTTTTACTACTTTCTTTCTAGGACAGCCAGTAGAGGGGACTTCATGTTTTCTGCAGATCGTTTGGTAGGTAGAGGCTTTCCATTTTTGTTTCATTGTTCCTAGTGATATAATCATAGTAGGGCCAAGGGACTTTTTTGTTCTACAGCATTCTGGAGGGTGAGAGAGTTTGTGCCAAGTAGACATCATCCTGGTAAATTTCTGAAATATTTTGTTTCTACTCTTTCATTAAAGGGACTGTGCCTCAGTACCTTTCCTCAGTGCATTGCCCACGAACTTATTCTCTGTAATTCTGAGGTACTTCTACCCCTCAAGGGGATCTTGGTAACCTGATCTTGAGTAACCCTTAAATGCCTCATCTTAGAGCAGTGAAGTGAAGTACATGAAGAGAAAATCAAAGACGTAGGGAAACCTAGTAGTTATTTTCGTGGTATTCATTTAATACAGAAAAACTGATACCTCTCTTGTAGTTTACATGGGGCTTATTTTTTTTGTCTTTTCTGTACTATCCTCACATGTTAAATACTTTGTATGCTTTCCTCAAAGACTTCCTATTAAGTATTGGCCATGCCCACTTCAGGTTAGCTAGTGTGGTTTGAGAGGATCTCAAGGCCAAGTTGGGTTGTCTTCAGATGAAGCATTGCATTTCCTTCTTGTATTTATATCTAAGTATGCTCAGTGCTTGGAATAAGCACATTTTCTGCTTTGGTTATTCGTATTCATATTCATGAAATACATACTGAACTTGAGTCAGGCACTGGGCTAGGCTGTGTTGCAGGAGGAGGAGATACAGCAGTAAAGAATACAGACATTGTCCCCGATTTCATGGAGTTTACATTCTAAATTATGTTGTCAGTATTTAGTTTGGAAAAGAAAGAAAAATGGCTTATTAACCTCACAGGTATAATCAGAGAAAAAAGGTAGATTACTAAAGGGAATGTGAGAGGGGAAGAAAGGCATGAAACTTTTCATTTAGATTTTCTCTGGGAAAATCTTAATTCCAAAATAGTATAGGCAACTCCTGCTCTGCTTTTGACTTTAAGTATTCTTGGTGCAGAGGCCACTTCTATTTACAATTATTTGCATTTCTAGGAGCAGTAATAACCATTTGATTGCATCAAGATGAATGTAGTTGACACTCCTGGATTGATAATTAGGTCATTCTGTCTTTATGCTTTTTTTTTAATTAAAAAAATTTAATGTCTATTTATTTTTGAGAGAGAGAGAAAGAGAGAGAGCTAGTGAGCAAGCAAGCATAAGCAGGGAAGGGGCATAGAGGGAGAGAAGACACAGAATCTGAAGCAGGCTCCAGGCTCTGAGCTGTCATCACGGAGCCCGATGCAGGGCTCAAACCCACGAGTGGTGAGATCATGACCTGAGCCAAAGTTGGATGCTTAGCTGACCAAGCCACCCAGGTGCCCCTGTCTTTATGCTTTTATCAAATGAAAGGAGCAGTTTTAAGGAGGAAGGAACATGTGCCATTGGCTGCTGTGGAGAAAACAGAAATCTTGGTGTTCATTAGTAGAAAGTGGTTCCTCTTTCTTTTGCTTTCTTTGCCCTTTTTCTATAGAAAATAAGAGTTAAGTTCATGGTTATGGTAAAATGCTTGCCTTTTCGTCAGGCCTTATATCACAATCAAATAAGATATTAAGGACCCACAACATAATTTGTATGAGGGGATGGTAATTGGGACCTCTCTGTTCTCTGCATTTGGCTTTGAAGGTTCTGATGATATTGGGGTTTGTGTATGGAGGGCTTCTGTGGTTGTGGTAGAGACTGGAGCTATTTAGGTTTCTGGTATTGAGGCTTTCTAGTACACTTGTCTGTTCTAGCACAAGGATCCCATTATAGCTGACATTAATTGCATCCTGGGTTTGTCAGAATTGGCTTCCTGGATACTTAAATCTTGAGTTCTTTATATGTAGTCACCCTTCTGGTTTTATGGTCTCCTGTAAGGCTTAGACACACTCAGTTTCTGTCCCAGGGTTGCAGGAGATGGGCAGGAGGTAAGACTCTTTAGAGGAGTGTTACTGGGAGATGTAGGCTCTCCAAAGAAAAGGATTTTTTCTTTCCTTGCTCTTAAGAAACATTAACCTCCACAGAAGGAGTGGCTAGAGATGAATGTGCATATATACACAGTATTCATGAGGTTCCTGGACCCTCTGGTGCTACAGGCTGACAAAATGCTGGCCCATTTAGCATTGATCATTTTAATGCAGCAAGGTGTTGTGTTGTGATAACAGAACATGGAGCCTGGTGTTTCTCCCTCTTGTTCCTAATTCTTCATCAATAATGTAATATTGATTAGAGAAAATGCATTGCAGACTCAGTGCTGCCTTTATTGTAGTAGGCTCTGGAGGCTCTGGGTGATCAGAGAAATATCATATTTGAATTTTGGAGGCTATTTCTAGTAGTTTTGATGGATTCTTTTCCTCTGTACCACACATTAAGATCATTAGGAGACTTTTCTTTTTTTTTTTAATGTTTTATTTATTTCTGAGAGAAAGAGACAGCATGAGCAGGGTAGGGTCAGAGAGAGAGGGAGACACAGAATCTGAAACAGGCTCCAGGCTCTGAGCTAGCCGTCACTACAGAGCCCGATGCGGGACTGGAGCCCTCGAACCAGGAGATCATGACCTGAGCCGAAGTCGGCTGCCTGACCGACTGAGCCACCCAGGTGCCCTCCCTTTTTTTTGAAAGCCGAGAATGTGACTCTTGACCTTGGTGTCATGAGTTTGAGCCCCACATTGGGTATAGAGATTACTTACTGGATCCTACTTCAAGATCAGGAAATTGGCTCAGCCCCATCCATTCATTTATTTCCTCCTAAGAACTTTTATGGTTTATTTGCATTATGGTGAGCCTTTGTTAAAAAGAAGCCAACTTAATTTCAAAGTACTGAACAAGGCAGAGGAGTTCCCAGTGGGCACTATTTTCAGAGTAGCCAGAAGTATATTACTTCCAAGGGTGCCTGCCATTACTCTTGTCACTTGCTGTAGTTTTACATTTCTCATAATACAGGCTCCACTAACTGAATGAGGAACACAAGGCATACTTGAGCCTTTGGTGGCAATCATGTGCCTACCCAAGGTTGGATGCCTAGCATGGGGATCTCTTTCTGCATCTAACACTTAATAGGGGCCCCCTTCCTACCTCCATGAGCTCTACCCTTGCCTATTGCATTACTGACTTTTTGCCTAGTGTACAGTTCCTGAAGCTAACAGCCAACACTAGATTCCTAGCTGTTTTTCAACTCATTCTTCTTTTGACTCTTAGATCAGACTTGTTGTGGAAGAGGGATTGAATCAACTGCCATATAAAGAATGCATGGTGACCACCCCAACAGGTAACCAGGGCTGTTCCTCTCCTTTATCCTCATAAAAATTCTGAGAATCAGGGGAAGATGGAAAAAATAAGCAGTCTGAGTAGATTAGTATGTAAAGTGAGGCGTCTAGGTGGACCCATTCTTTTAAACAAGTTAATAAACTCAAAGACATTTAGTTAAGAAATTTATATGGATGACTTTTTGTTAATGACTTTGCTTGTCAATTCAAGTTAAAGGTTAATAAATATTCTTTAGCATGCAAGTCTTGCCTTTGATGACAGCCCATTGGGATAAGCTGGCAGCTTATCTTCACCTCTGTAGGGAAGCTGCTGGTTTAATAAATGGGTGGGCTGGTTTGGCACTGAAATGCCAGGTGAAAGAATGAGAAGTAAAAAAGACAAAGAAAACAAAAAATGATGAGGATTGGAGAGGGTACTTTGGTTTACTCTAATAAAACACAGCTGAACATCCCTATTTCAGGAATTTGAAATTCTGATTTTGTTCTTTAGTAAATAATGGAAGCTGTTCTATTCAGAGGTTGACTTTATGAAAATTAGGGGCTGAGCTTGTTGCATCATAATTGGTACAAAATTAGGATGACACTAAGGGTTGAACATGTCTGGGTAACGACTTCAGCCTTTGTCTTCTGCTTTTTAAGGCAGAATAGAAGCTCATAAAAAGGGACGGAATGAGGAAGCTCTCTGCTGTGGCTCACAGTGTGATCTCAGTTTGAATTGATGAGGTTTATAGCACTCAAGAGTGCAATGATTCCACTCTGAATTCAATTTGAGGAATATGTATGTGAATATCATGCTATCATAAATCTTGTTCCTACTCAGTGAAATCTACCTTTCCCAATTATCCCCACAGGTTTCTTAGGAGGAATTAAGAAATAACTGAAAAAATCACGACTCTTCTCATTACTTTCTCAAGGAGCCGTTATACAGAATGTCTAGACAAGGATTGCTCTGTACCCAAATGCTTTAAACTATAGGCACTTTATAAAATAAGTGGGTTGCTACAGTGATGAAAGATGAATTCTTTGGTTTTATTCCCCAACAGGGTACAAGTATGAAGGAGTGAAATTTGAGAAGGGAAATTGTGGGGTCAGCATAATGAGAAGTGGTAGGTTTTCATATGTTTAATTTTTGTCTCTTTGCATGCATAGAAACAATTTTTTTCCAGGAGAGGTGAGCTTGTCTGTCATAATTGCAGCCTGCCTTAACTTAAATCTCACCACTTGTGTTGTCTGTCCTCATGGTGTCTTGGATCATGGCTTCTGTGTTGCCGAGTTTGACTGATTTTAACTGTAGGGCATCAACTCCAGCTTTCAGAGAGATTCAGGGTAGAATGGGAGGATACGGTGATGAGATGATGCTATCCTGGGGAGAACAGGGCAGCTTGAAGACTGACGGAATATGGCACAAATTCAGGCCTGCAGAGCTTTGAATACCTGACTGGAGAAATGTTTGTTCTGTTTTTGTTTGTTGTTTGTTTGTTTGCTTTTCTCGGGAACAGTCCTACCCTATCAGGAACTGGACTGAATGACTTATTCAATGTTTTTAGTTTTATATTTGACGTGTATGTGACCATATGGCAAAAGCACTTAACTGTTATTAACTCTTTGTGTATTTCCAATTGCTGGTCTTATAAATGCTGTATTTGTATTTGAATCCAACTGATTATTCTTCTAAACCAAACTTTGTGCAACAAAATCACATGCCTGGAATTAGAGCATCTACCTGTTACATGGGGAAGACTACTTTTATTCATCAACTTAAAGAAATAAATTAATTTTTGCACAAGATCCCATTGTTCGGTAGAAGCCTCACTTGCTTGCACTAGAGACAAATGAATTTCTTCAACATACAAGCATTGCCTTTTCTCTGGCTGTGAAGTTCTGTTTGTAAACAAGTGAATACCTCAAGTAAAATAGGAGCTTTTAGCTCCCTTTTTAAATATTAGGTAGCTTGTAAGCAATGATCAGATTTTCAAGACAATGTTGTTTAACCTTTTAAAACTGGTGAAGACAATGGAGATGGGCTTTAATGGCATTTTTTTCCTTTTATTTCAGTCCAGTTCCTGCCCTAAAGTCAGTGGCATCCCCACATCCCTAGTACATAGCAGATGACCTTGGGGTAATGCATAGACAGGGTTATTTTTTAACCTTATTGGCTGTTGGTTGATTTTCCTATATATTAGGAACTGTTTTTATGTTTACACTAGTGAAAGAAAATTTCCTCTTAAAATAAATGTAAATGAAAATAGTTAAAGAAAAATATTAAGTTAATAATAGTACAGGTAGAATTCTGATGTGGCCTCAGATCTTGAAGATGGTATGAGAATGATTGACTTTTGGCAAACACTTACCTAAAGGAATTCAGACTCAAAAATGACTCTGTTCAGAAACCAAATGGGTAGTAGTAGTGTTGGTTATGGTTCTTGGGGGAAGGGAGGAAGGGAACAGTATAGTTTTTCACTGTTTGCCAGCAAACTTCTGCCATTGAAGTAATTGCTGGTGCATAGTGATACATCCTGATGCTACCTTGGTCTGTAGCTCTCATTTCTTCCATAAGTCTTCTATTTTTTTTTTCACATGAAAATAACAGGTTTAGGTGGTTTAAAAGTCTTCCTTAAAATAATAAGAGTAAAATGGTCCTGATATTGGAAAAGCTCAGGGAGCATCCTAACTAACAAAACACTTTATTTCTTGAATTTCATGAAAGCGTGAATCTCTCAAACTTGAAAGGCAGCAATAAAACTAGCTTATCCTACTTTCATTGACCATCTCTTAACCTGGTTTAATTGACCTGCACTAATATAAAATATGAGCATATCAGAATGAAAGCTCTTAAGAAGAATTGCTTCCATCTTGGTAATGTCCTTTTTGTATTAATAATAGTCACATACTCTGCTTTGGGCTATTTGTGGGCTTGATTTCTATCTTCCTCTACCCTTTTTTTTCTTTTGAAAATTTTCCTTTTTTTCAAGGTGAGGCAATGGAACAAGGTTTACGAGACTGCTGTCGATCTATACGTATTGGAAAGATCCTGATTCAGAGTGATGAGGAAACACAAAGAGCCAAAGTATATTATGCCAAATTCCCCCCAGACATTTACCGGAGAAAAGTTCTTCTGATGTATCCAATTCTCAGTGAGTGCCTGGAGTTTAATTTGTATACTTTATTAGGGTTTAAAGCAATTCCACTTAGTGACTGCCTTTTAGGTACCCTTATATAACAGCAAAACCCTTTATAAATATGTTTTTCTGTTGGATTTGGAGTTGCCCTGGGAAGTTTTGCTGGGGAATTTTTATTGTATAATAAGAGAATATATATTATCTAAACTTTATTAGCTCCAAAGAGCTTTTGTTTTAAAATGAATGTTCACACTGGAACAAAGGATCTAATGAGGCAGAATATATAGAACAGAGAAGAAATATTGAAATATGTCCCTTCTCTAGCCCAGTGAGTATAACAGTGATTTTCTCAAGGTTTTATCCTCTCTGGAAGTAATATTTTTCTCCTATTGTATTGTTTCCTAAGCTTACTCAGATCACACATGGCATTGTCTCCCAGGGTTGGTGGTGGAGGGTGGCTGTCTAACTTGATATCTCTAATACTAAATGAATTTAGGGTTTTTTGTGCATTTGAAATCTGAAAAGTGTGTACATTATGTGCATTATTGAAAATAATGTCATTGCTAAAGAAAAGGCACCTTCAAATGAACCTTTGCCTAGTGTCGTATGTTAGATTATTTAACTGCCTTTAACTTCAAAGAAACTTTAAAGATGTTATGAGATAAATGTTAAAGTTGCTAGTGCATTTAGTTGTCATTTGATTTCAGGCACTGGAAATACTGTAATTGAAGCTGTAAAGGTTCTTATAGAACATGGAGTTCAGCCCAGTGTTATTATCCTACTCAGTCTGTTCTCCACTCCTCATGGTGAGTTCAGCACGAGGAAGTAACTGGGGCTCCAGATGGTCATGGGGTGGTCAAGTGTGTATCTGTCCAGACTCTTGTCAGGAGGAAAAGTTCATTTGCTTCCAAATGAAATCTAAATTAAATTAAACCTAATTTTGATAGTTTATAACTTGTGTTTATAAGCTTTAAGCTGGGTGATAGGATAATATTTTACACCATTCTAATGTTCAAAGTCAAATGGAAGGTGATGAACTAATCCCTTTGAAGGGGATTGTGATTATTTTTGTGGTAGCCTTGTTTGGGTAGAGCCTTCAAATAGCTGAAATGTCCCTGTTTCTCCCGACTTCTCACCTGAGCCTGAGAATTGCTCCCAAGCCACAAAAAACTTGAGGATCTGGTTAGATCCTGTGGTCTTGCTGCAGTAAACTTTGCAGCATGAATCAAAGAGCAGAAGTTTGTTTTTTGTTTTTTTTTTAAGTTCTACTTCTGTTCAGAGGGCATAATGGTAGAACTGTGTGTTCTCCATTTCCTCAGGAAAATAAGCCTAATGTAAGGCCTTAATTTTTTGCCATACAATCTAGGACAATTGTGAAAGTGTTCTAGGAAAATAATCATACATGCATGTAGAAACAGCTTTCAGGATATTCATTGCAGAATTACGTGTAGTGTAAAAAAAATTCAGTAGTATATAAATGCCTTACAATAAAGAAATATTTAAATATATATTCAAAGGATGTAATATTATATAACTAAACCATGTTTTTGAAAAGTATTTAATAACATCTACATGGTAAACGTAAAAAAACATGTTAAAAAATAACAGCATTAGAATAATGTAAAATGTTATCGCCAAGTTTAGAGATAATTAAGACAAATTATGACTATTACGACTACTGCAATCAGACTTGGATTTAACATAGACCCTAATAAGTCTTGCCTTAGCAATGAGAGGCTAGACAGATGCACAGTACTATTTCAATTTTCATTTCAAAATACACACTATATTAATAGTGGTTATCTTAGGATGGTGGGATTCTAAGTGATTCATTTTGTTTTTTTTAAGCTTTGTTTTGGTATTTTTCAGATATTTGACAATGAATTTGTATTTGTTTCACAATTGAAAAGAAAGAGAAATATGTGGCTTCTAAGTTAGAGTGTTTTCTCAGCTCCAAAGGTTCCAAGTCTCAGCCAACCCTGAAGAGGCTATATAGCATATCTCGTTGGGAGGGCTGCATTCAGTAGGCCATTGATTATTTTGCTGTTTCATAATAAAAATTTACTTACAGTTCAAATGTTGATGGTGACAAAGGGCGATTTGCTTGGTCATCAATTTATATATAGCAGAGATAGCCTTGTAAACATTGAGATAACCAAATAATTATTGGGCTTTCTGCTTTTGGATGTAGAAAAGTAACTGTGTTAGTTCTAAGAGTATGTATTAGAATAGTATACCATTCTTTGACATTTTCATGACAACATCATTATGGCTTTTTAGTTTGGCTAGGGTCCTAGCTAGACCCTTTCCATGCAACCCCGAAAGCTAGAATCCTAACTTCTAAAAGCTAGCTCGCTCTGATATACCAAATAAGTTTTCACACTTGTTTCAGTGTTCCAGTTGAGAAACCTTCCATCTCATCTTATATATGGTGCTGTTTCTGGAAAGGAGTATATTCTTTCTATTCCAGCTGCCTTTAAAATGAAACAAAACAGAAGCGCATGGATGGCTCATTCGGTTTTGAATCCAACTCTTGGTTTCAGCTTGGGTCATGATCTCGCAGTCAGTAGGTTCAAGCCCCATGTTGGCCTCCACATGACGTTGTAGAAACTGTTTGAGATTCTCTCTCTCTCTCTCTGCTCTCTCCTCTTTCTCTTTCTCAAAAATAAACATTTTTTTTTTACAAATAGTTTATTGTCAAATTAGTTTCCACATAACACTCAGTGCTCATCCCCATAAGTGTCCTCCTCTATGCCCATCCCCCCCTCCCTCCCACATCCATCAGTCCTCAGTTTTTGTCAGCATTCAAGAGTCTCTCATGGTTTGCCTCTCTCCCTTTCCCCCACCATTTCCGCCCTTCTTCTCCCCCTTGTTCTTCCGTCAAGTTCCTCCTAATCCTCCTATACGTGCAAACATATGATATTTGTCCTGCTCTGCCTGACTAAAAATAAACATATTTTAAAGAAAGAATAATTTGAAATGAAAACAAAGATTTCAGGAAGAAAGTTGTTATAACTGAATGTATTTGTAATGTCTTGGATATAAAACAATTTGATTCTAAGAATTTATTAGTTAATTGGGTGGAGGCATAGTGTGATGATTGTTACAGCTTTTCAGGTATCAGACATATAAACTAAGAGATTAGCAAAGTTTGACTAGGTATTTAAAGGTCATTGCTTTCTGTCTTCTGTCTTTATTATACTCAGTAGCTATAAAATTCCTGAATTCTAGCTAATATTACCAAAAAGTCCTGCCATAACAGCAATTTTCTTATTGTTTTTTGAAGGTGCCAAATCAATCATTCAGGAGTTTCCAGAGATCACAATTTTAACTACTGAAGTTCATCCTGTTGCACCTACGCATTTTGGACAGAAATACTTTGGTACAGACTGAGTTACCAAAGAAAAATAAATTATCTTGTGTAATATTACAGTAATATTTTGAGTTTCTACCTGTTTTACTAATTCACTTGAAGAATGGCAGAGAAAACTATGCTTTATAATTTTTGGTAGTGGGTATAGTAAAAAGGAAATATTTGAGGTTTAATGTATTTGGTTATTTCTTGACTGATGGCACCACACTTAACAATGCAGCACCCACAACTCTTAGAAAATATTTTAATAATATTCTAATGCAAGTTGATGATCCCTCAATGCATTGACACTGTTTCCTAATTTTTGAACCTCTCAGTTGGGATGTTGTTTGTAGCCACAAATAAAACCCAAATGGGATTCTGTTCTTTGGCCGACTCTACTTTGCATTTTGTTTAGTTTGCTTTTAGTTCTAGGGAGATTTCATGTATATGGCTGTTGTCACCTTCTTCTTCTCTTTACTTCCCAGTACTATACATGCTGGTAACCTGGGGTGAAAAAAGAATGCCTCCTGGAATTTTACATTCGGTTAATAGCCTCACTCAATTAGCAGACCCAGGCTATATGGTTAGCTCTTCAGTCAAGCCATTATGTTCTTCATGGCTCCGTTCCCATCGTGTGCATTGTTGGTAGGTGCTTTGCCAAGTGTAATGCAGTGAAGAGATGATGGAGCATTTCCAGCAACTGGAACTTTAACATTAATTTACATAGATAGATTGAACCAGGGATATCTGGATGCTGACAAGAGAGGGCTAAGTACTGTTAATGTCACCAATGCCCTGGAAAGGAATTGGTAGTGATTTTTCTGAGGCATGGGGGGAAAAATCAGTTTCTTGCTGAGTTTTATGGCCAGTAAGTACATTAAAATGCTTCATTTTTAATTTGGGTATTTCATATGATTTGGAAATGAGATATTTTGCATACCTGTTAATTGAAGATGTATTAAAATTTAAAACACCACATTTTTAAAATCCTCCAGTTATATGTATGTTCATATTTAGACCTTGAAAAGGAAGACAAACTGTTGTAGAAAACAATGTTTGTGTTTGGAAACTTGCTTGTAAAATCCTGATCTCATTTTACATCAATAATAAACATTTTAACAGTGGTTCTGGCTGGTTACTTGAATAATTATATTCTCATTGCCCCATAGGTGGCTGTTGTAGGCCTCTGGTTCTAAAATATGCAGACAAGAGCAGAAGAACCATAGCTGATGAAAGTCAGCAAAGATTAGGGGAGAGGAGCAAAAGCTAGTGGATAATGGTCTACATTTTCCCTATAAGGCCTAGGAATGCTGAAAGGACTTAAGTATATTTTTCACTTTATTTTTTTTAGTTTTTATTTAAATTCCAGTTAGTTAACAGAGTGTAATATTAGTTTCAAGCATAGAATTTAGTGATACATTGCTTACATATAACACCCATGGCTCATCACAAGAAATGCCCTCCCAATCCCCATCACCTATTTAACACATCCCCCAACCCACCTCCCCTCTACTATTAGTTAGTTCTTTATACTTAAGAGTCTGTTTCCTTGTTTGCCTTTCTTTCTCCCCACTATGAACATTTATTTTGTTTCTTAAATTCCACATATGAGTGAAATCATATTGTATTTGTCTTTCTCTGACTTATTTCACTTAGCATAATACTATCCAGCTCCATCCACGTCATTGCAAATAGCAAGATTTCATTCTGTTGTGGCCGAGTAATATTCCATTGTATATGTATATACACCACAATTTGTTTATCCATTCATGAGTCGATGGACATTGGGGCTCTTTACAGAAGCTAATGTTGGTAATGCTGCTATAATACATCGGGGTGCATGCAATAAATAGTAATAAAAAATAGTAAGAAGTTGCTGCAGCTGGGGTTAAAGAGGTTGGTGCCTGTGTTCTGTAGGATTTTGATGGTTTCCTGTCTCACATTTAGGTCTTTCATCCATTTTGAGTTTATTTTTGTGTATGGTGTAAGAAAGTGGTCCAGGTTCATTCTTCTGCATGTTGCTGTCCAGTTTTCCCAGCACCATTTGCTGAAGAAACTGTCTTTTTCCATTGGATACTCTTTCCTGCTTTGGTGAAGATTAGTTGGCCATATTTTTTGTGGATCCATTTCTGGGTTCTGTATTATGTCACGTTGATCTATGTGTCTGTTTTTGAGTAGTGTACAGATTTTAACAATATTTTTTCTGATCCATGACCATGGAGTGTTTTTCCATTTTTTTGTGTGTGTCATCTTCAATTTTTTTCCATCAATGTTTTATAGTTTCAGAGTACAGATCATTTATCCCTTTGGTTAGGTTTACTCCTAGTTATCTTACGGTTTTTGGTGCAATTGTAAATCGGATTGATTCCTTGATTCTCTTTCTGCTGCTTCATTATTGTTATCTATATACCAATAGACCAAATATAGATATTTGGTATCTATATACCAATGCAACAGATTTCTATGTTGATTTTCTATCTTGTGACTTCACTGAATTTATTATCAGTTCTAGCAATGTTTTTGGTGGAGTCTTTTGGATTTTCTCTATAGAATATCATGCCATCTGCAAATAGTGAATGTTTGACTTCTTCCTTGCTGATTTGGATCCATTTTATTTCTTTCTGTTGTTTTTTTGAGGCTAGGACTTCCAGTACTATGTTGAATAAGAGTGATGAGAGTGGACATCCCTGTGTTGTTCCTTACTGTAGAGGAAAAGGTCTCACATTTTCCTCATTGAGGATGACATTAGCTGTGGGGTTTTCATATATGTCCTTTATGATGTTGAGATATGTTCCCTCTATCCCTCCATTATTGAGGGTTTTTATCAAGTGTGGGTATTGTACATTATGAAATGATTTTCTCCATCTATTCAAATGGTCGTATGGTTCTTATATTTTTACTAATGTAGTGTTGATAGATTTGGGAATATTGAGGGACACCTGGGTGGCTAGGTTATTTAAGTCTCTGACTCTTGATTTGGCTTTGTTCATGATCTCATGGTTCACGGACTCTCAAAAATAAATAAACATTAAAGAAAATGGATTTGGAAATATTGAACCTCCCTTGCAAGCTAGGAATAAATTCCACTTTATCGTGGTGAATAATTTTGTTGTTGCTGTTGTTTATTGTCAAGTTGGTTTCCATATAACACCCAGTGCTCATTCTAACAAGTGCCCTCCTTCATGCCGATTACCTCTTTAGCCCCCTCCCCCAGCCCCATCAATGCTCAGTTTGTTCTCAGTATTTAAGAGTCTCTTATGGTTTGCCTCTCTCCCTCTCCCCCACTATTTTTTCTCTTCTCCCACATGGTCCTCCGTTAAATTCCACCAAATACACTTATAAGTGCAAACATATGGTATTTGTCCTTCTCTGCCTGACATATCGCTCAGCATAACACCCTCAAGTTCCATCCATGTTACTACAAGTGGCCAGATTTCATTCTTTCTCATTGCCATGTAGTATTCCATTGTATAGATAAATCACATCTTCATCCATTCGTCAGTTGATGGACACTTAGACTCTTTCCATGATTTGGCTATTGTTGAGAGTGATGCTATGAACATTGGGGTACATGTGCCCCTATACATCAGCACTCCTGTATCCCTTGGGTAAATTCCTAGCAGTGCTACTGCGGGGTCATAGGGGAGTTCTATTGTTAGTTTTTTGAGGAACCTCTGCACTGTTTTCCAGAGGGGATGCACCAGCTTAAATTCCCACCAACAGTGTAGGAGGGTGCCCATTTCTCCACATCCTTGCCAGCATCTAGAGTCCTCTGATTTGCTCGTTTTAGCCACTCTGACTGGCGTGAGGTGGTATCTCAGTGTGGTTTTGATGTGTATTTCCCTGATGGGGAGGGATGCTGAGCATCGTTTCATGTGTCTGTTGGCCATCTGGGTGTTCTCCTGGGGAAGTGTCTGTTCCTATCTTCTGCCATTTCTTCACTGGGTTGTTTGCTTTTAGGGTGTGTAGTTTGGTGAGTTCCTTATAGATTTTGGATACTAGCCCTTTATCTAATATGTCATTTGCAACTATCTTTTCCCATTCCATCGGTTGTCTGTAAGTTTTATGGATTGTTTCCTTTGCCGTGCAGAAGACTTTTATTTTGATGAGATCCCAGTAGTTCATTTGTGCTCTTGATTCCCTTGCCATTGGGGATGTGTCAAGTAAGAAATTACTGCAGTGGAGGTCAAGGAGGTTGTTTCCTGCTTTCTCCTCTATGGTTTTGATGGTTTCCTGTCTCATATTCAAGTCCTTTATCTATTTTGAGTTTATTTTTGTGTATGGTGTGAGAAAATGATCTAGTTTCATTCTTCTGCATGTTGTGGTCCAGTTCTCTCACCACCACCTTTTTTCCATTGGATACTCTTTCCAGCTTTGTCAAAGATTAGTTGGTCATACATTTGTGGGTCCAATTCTGAGTTCTCTATTCTATTCCATTGGTCTATGTGTCTAATTTTGTGCCAATACCATACTGTCTTGATGATGACAGCTTTGTAGTAGAGGCTAAAGTTTGGGATGGTGATGCCTCCGTTTTGGTTTTCTTCTTCAATATTACTTTGGCTATTCAGGGATTTTTGTGGTTCCATACAAATTTTAGGATAGTTTGTCCTAGCTTTGAGAAGAATCCTGGTGCAATTTTGATTGGGATTGCACTGAATGTGTAGATTGCTTTGGGTAGTAATGACATTTTAACTATGTTTATTCTTCCAATCCATGAACATGGATTGTTTTTCCATTCCTTTGTGTCATTTTCAATTTCCTTCATAAGTTTTCTAAAGTTTTCATCATACAGATCTCCCATATCTTTGGTTAGGTTTATTCCCAGATATTTTATGGTTTTTTGTGCAGTTGTGAATGGGATCACTTTCTTGATTTCTTTTTCTGCTGCTTCATTGTTGGTGTATAAAAATGCAACTGATTTCTGTATGTTGATTTTGTATCCTGCGACTTTGCTGAATTCCTGGATCAGTTCTAGTAGGTTCTGGTGGAGTCTGTCGGGTTTTCTATGTAGAGTATCGTGTTGTCTGGGCAAAGTGAAAGCTTGACTTCGTCTTTACCAATTCTGATGCTTTCATTTCCTTTTGTTGTCTCATTGCTGATGCTAGGACTTCCAGCACTATGTTAAACAACAGTGGTGAGAGTGGACATCCCTGTCGTGTTCCTGATCTCAGGAGGAAAGTTCTCAGTTTTTCCCCATTGAGGATGATGTTAGCTGAGGGCCTCTCATAGATGACTTTTTTGATGTTTAAGTAAGTTCCTTCTATCCCGACTTTCTCTAGGGTCTTTATTAAGAAGGGATGCTGTATCTTGTCAAATGCTTTTTCTGCATCAGTCCACAGGATCACATGGTTTTTATCGTTTCTTTTGTTAATGTGATGTATCACAATGATTGATTTGCAAATACTGAACGAACCCTGTAACCCAGGAATGAATCCCACTTGATCATGGTGGAAAATTCCTTTTATGTGCTGTTGGATTCGATTTGCAAGTATCTTGTTGAGGATTTTTGCACCGGTATTCATCAAGGATATTCGCCTGCAGTTCTCTTTGTTCTTGCTGGATCTCTGTCTAGCTTGGGAGTCAACATGATGCTGGATTCGTAAACTGGAAGTTTTCCTTCGATTTCTATATTTTGGAATAGCTTGAGAAGAATGGGTATTAATTCTGTTTAAAATGTCTGGTAGATTTCTCCAGGGAAGCCATCTGGCCCAAGACTCTTATTTGTTGGAGGATTTTTGATGACTGATTCAATTTCCTCACTCGTTATGGGTCTGTTCAGGTTTTCTATTTCTTCCCGTGTGAATTTTGGTAGTGAGTGTGTGTTTAGGAATTGTCCATTTCTTCTAAGTTGTCCAATTTGTTGGCATATAATTTTTCATAGTATTCCCTGATAATTGCTTGTATTTTTGAGGGGTTGGTTGTAATAAGTCCTTTTTCATTCGTGATTTTGTCTATTTGAGTGCTCTCTCTTTTCTTTTTGGGAAGCTTGACTAGAGGTTTGTTAATTTTGTTTCTTTTTTCAAAAAACAAAATCTTGGTTTCCTGGATCTGTTCAGCTGTTTCTTTGGTTACTATACTGTTTATTTCTGCTCTGATTTTTATTATTTCTCTTCTTCTACTGGGTTTGGGATGCTCCTGTTGCTCTCCCTCTAGTTCCTTTAGGTGCACTGTTAGATTTTGTACTTGTGCTTTTTCTAATTTCTTGAAATAGGCCTGGAGTGCAATGTACTTTTCCTCTGAGGACTGCCTTTGCCGCATCCCATAGAGTTTGGATTGTTGTATTTTCATTTTCATTTGTTTCCATATATTTAAAAATTTCTACTCTAATTGCCTGATTGGCCCATTTGTTCTTTAGTAGGGTGTTCTTTAACCTCCATGTTTTGGGAGGTTTTCTAGACTTTTTCCTGTGATTGATTACAAATTTTATAGCATTGTGATCTGCAAGTGTGCATCTTATGATCTCAATTCTTTTATATTCATTGAGGGCTGTTTATGTCCCAGTCTGTGATGTATCTTGGAGAATGTGCCATGCGCACTTGAGAAATAAGTGAATTCCATGACCTCAGGATGTAGAGTTCTAAATATATCTGTCAAGTCCATCTGGTCCAATGTGTCATTCAGGTCCTTTGTTTCTTTAGTGTTTTTCTGTCTAGTTGATTTATCCACAGCTGTAAGTGGTGTAATAAAGTCCCCTGCTATTAGCACATTCTTATCCATAAGAGTGTTTCTGTTTGTGATTGTTTTATGTATTTAGGTGCCTCCATATTCGGTGCATAGACATTTATAATCGTTAACTCTTCCTGATGAAGAGACTCTGTAATTATTATATAATACCCTTCTTCATCTTTTGTTACTGTCTGTACTTTAAAGTCCAGTTTGTCTGATATAAGTGTAGCTACTCCAGCTTTCTTTTGACTTCCTGCAGCATGATAGATATTTCTCCATCCCCTTACTTTCAATCTAAAGGTGTCGTCCAGTCTAAAATGCGTTTCTTGGGGCGCCTGGGTGGCTTAGTCGGTTAAGCGTCCGACTTTCGCTTAGGTCATGATCTCGCGGTTCGTGGGTTCGAGCCCCGCGTCAGGCTCTGTGCTGACTGCCAGCTCAGAGCCTGGAGCCTGTTTCAGTCTGTGACTCCCTCTCTCTCTGACCCTCCCCTGCTCACACTGTCTCTCTCTCTCCTAGAAATAAATAAAACATTAAAAAAAAATAAAAAATAAAATAAAATAAAATGAGTTTCTTATAGACAGCAAATAGCTGGATTTTGTTTTTATGTCCATTCTTCTACCATATGTCTTTTGGTTGGAGCATTGAGACCATTTATATTCAGTATTATTATTGAAATACATGTGTTTAGAGTCATCGTATCCTTTGTGGGATTCATGCTTGTGGTGGTGTCTCTGATATCTTTGGTTTCTTGCAACATTTCCCTCAGAGAGTTCCCCTAAGGATTCCTTGTAGTGGTGGTTTAGTGGTGGCAAATTTTTTCAACTTTTGTGTATTTGGAAAGACTTTTATCTCTCCTTCTATTTTGAACGACAGGCTTGCTGGATAGAGGATTCTTGGCTGCATATTTTTTCTGTTCATCACTTTGACGATCTCTTGCCATTCCTTTCAGGCCTGTCAAATTTCAGTAGATAGGTCTTTGACCAATCTGATAGATTTCCCTTTCTGTGTTAAGGTCCCTTTCTCCCTGGCTGCTTTCAGAATTCTCTCTTTGTCCTTATATTTTGCCAGTTTCACTATGATATGTCGTGCAGGTCGATTCAAGTTACATCTGAGGGGAGTTCTCTGTGCCTCTTAGATTTCAATGTCTGTTTCCTTCTCCGGATTGGGGAAGTTCCATAGTATAATTTGTTCAAAACTCCTTCAGCACCTTTGCCTCTCTCCTCCTCTTCTGGAATTCGTATGATACGGTTATTGTTCCGTTTGATTGTATCGTTGAGCTCTCGAACTCTCCTTTCGTGTTCCTGGATTAGTTATCTCTCTTTTTCTTGGCTTCCTCTTTTTCTATAATGGTGCTTTCTAAATCACTTATTCTCCTTTCTGCCTCTTCAATCCGTGCATTGGACGCCTCCATTTTTTTATACATCTCATATATAGCATTTTTTAATTCATCACAACTATTTTTAAGTTCCATAGTCTTTGTAGTGATAGTTTCTCTGGTGTCTTCCATGCCTTTCAAGTCCAACAATTAATTTTATGACTATTGTTCTAAATTCTTGTTCAGTTATGTTGCTTATATCTGTTTTGAGCAGTTCTTTAGATGTCATTTCTTCCTGGAATATCTTTGGAGGAGAGTTCTTAAGTTACAACATTTTGGTTAGCTTTCTATCTCTTGTTAATTTTAAAAGCTTGTTATGCACTCTGTCCCTGCGGGTGCTGCTGTATTAAAGAGGGCTCTTTGACTGTCCACGGCTTGTCCGTTCAGAAAGTGTTCTTTGGATGGTGTCTCTTGGTTTCTCCTGTTGAGCATTTGGTTATTTTATTTCCCTACTCGTAGTGGTATTTGGGACTCTCCACCATGTGTACTTGCTTGTTTCTTGAGGTAGCCTTAGAAAATAAGACAGATAGACAACCACACAGGGAACAAAGGTACACAAATGCAGAGAAATCCAATAAACACGCAAACCGAAGGGGAAAAAGAAAGGATGGGATAATAAAGAAAACAAAACAAAAAAGATACAAAGGAAGGAGGGAAGGCAAATATTAAAAATCAAAATTAAAATTAATAAAAATTTTAAAAAGAAGAAATGAAAAGAAAAAAGAGAAAACCCAAAAGACAAAGGACAGTCTAAAGGCATAAAACCAGAATTCCCAGCCACAAATAAAGAGCCAGGTGTATGCAGTGCTGATGGAAGAGCATATACAAGGAGAGAAATACAGGGTGGGGAGGAAATGAAACTGGAAATGAAATGACCAGGCAGAGAGGCTAAGAGGCCTGATTCAGAGGGAGAAATCGTAGAATATGTTTAGAGGCAATGAGATAGAAACAAAGATGTTACTCAGAGAAACTATATAGTCTGATTACTCCAGAGAGAGAGAGAGAGATAAAAAGAGTGTACATCTAGAGAATGGATTAAATGTGACTGTTTAAGCCAATCAGTGACCAGAGTGCCCCCATTGGCAGAGTGGAAGGTTATGAGAAAAGGGAGAATATATCTGAATTGAAAGAATTATGTAGGATTAATCATGGCAGTGCATCCATGTGGTCTTGCCCCATACTCAAGTTAAAAATAATAATAATAATAAGCAGGTCTCTGGCAGGGATGGCGTGGTTTGGTGTAGGCAGGTCTTGCCTCCACTGTGCCTCGCTGGGCGCTCCCTGAAGCCCCCCCCCCCCCTTGGTGGTTGTGGGGAGAATAATGACATTGCCCCAGTCTCTTCTCAACCAAGCATTGCAAATCACTCCTTTGGGTCTGCTTTCCCTGTGCTCTGGGCGTATCCAAAGTGGGCTGTATTCTATGCCCCACACCCCGCCTCATTTCCAGGTCCCAATCCTCATGCTTTATTGATACCGGAAACAAATTCCGGCAGGTCGCTGCTTCCCTGCTGCTGGGAGTCGAGGAGGGGGATGTGGCACAGCCTCAGATCCGAAGGTGGGATCAGATTTGCTGGGGTTAAGTGGTGGCACAATCTGGGATCTGCCTCCTCAGGGCTCCTAGGGGTTCAATCCCGGGGAACTCAGCCTTGGCTTGCTGCCTTGGGGCTCCGCGGGGTCAAGCAGGGGGAATGCAGCCTCAGACCTGCAGCATCTGGGCTGCTAGGGATGGTGCGGGAAGTGCAGCAGAGCAGTTTTTCCTGGCGCCCTTTGGGACAGGGGGCACCTAGTTCAATGTCAGCACCCCAGCTAGATCTAAAAACACTCTTTCCAAGCCAAGGTTTTTCTCTTCTCCAGGGACAGTTCTATGAGCAGTTTCAGCTTATCTTTCTTTCCCCTCTACTCACCCCGGCTCACAGCCCCCAGTTCACAGCAGCTGCCTGCGAGCCGGGCTCCCTCCCCTTCCTCCATATCTCCAGTCCTTGCCTGCTTTTATCTTCCCCAGTTCGCTCTCATGCACTTATGAGGTTGCCTTCCCAGTGTATTCTGTCTCTTTCTCTTCCCAAACTCCTGTGGCTCAGTGTCCTATGACTTCAGGCCTTCTGTGTTTGAGAGATGGGTGCAAGCAAAATCTCAGTGGAGTCTTTGAATGGGAACAGATTTAGGGTAATGGTGGCCTCATAAGATGAATTTGGAAGTTGTCCTTCATTTCTATTTTTTGGAATAGCTTAAGAAGAATAGGTATTAACTCTCCTTTAAATGTTTGGTAGAATTTCCTTGTAAAACCATCTGGCCCTGGACTTTTGTTTATTGGGAGATTTTTGATTACTGATTCAATTTCTTTGCTGGTTATCAGTCTGTTCAGGTTTTTTATTTCTTCCTATTTCAGTTTTGGTAGTTTATATGTTACCAGAAATTTGTCCATTTCTTCCAGGTTGTCTAATTTGTTGTCACATAATTTTCCATAATACTTTCTTATAATTGTTTTATTTTTATTTTATTTAAAAATTTTTAACATTTAAATATTTTTGAGAGACAGAGACAGAGCATGAGCAGGGGAGGGGCAGAGAGAGACACACACACACAGAATCCAAAGCAGGCTCTAGGCTGTGAGCTGCCAGCACAGAGCCTAGCATGGGGCTCGAACTCATGAACTGTAGTTCATGACCTGAGCCGAACCGACTGAGTCAACCATGTGCCCCTTCTACTTGTTTTAATTTCTGCCCTGTTGGTTTGATTTCTCCTGTCTCATTTGTGGGTTTATTTATTTAGGTCCTTTCATTTTTCTTTTTGATATCTCTGGCAAGGGTTAATCAATTTTATTTTATTTTTTTGTAAGAACCAGTTCCTGGTTTCATTGATACGTTCTACTGGATTATTTCTGTTTCATTGTAATTCATTTCTGCTCTAATCTTTATTATTTCCCTTCTGCTGGATTTAGGCTTCATTTATTTTTTTGGTTCCTTTTGCAGTTCCTTTAGGTGTAAGGTTAGGTTGCATATTTGTGATTTTTCTTTCTTCTTGAGGTAGGCGTGTATTGGTATATACTTCTCTCTTATAACCACTTTTGTTGCATCCCAAAGGTTTTGGAACATCATGTTTTCATTTTCCTTTATTTTCATGTATTTTTTCCATTTCTTCTTTGATTTCCTGGTTGACCCATTTCGTTCTTTAATAGGGTGTTCTTTAATCCCCATTTATTTGTGGTCTTTCCAAAGTTTTTCTTGTGGTTGACTTTAGGTTTCATAGCTTTGTGGTTGGAAAGATGCATGATACAATCTCAATCTTTTTGTGCTTGTTGAGGACTGATCTGTAATCTAGTATGTGATCTATTCTGGAGAATTTTACATGTGTACTTGAAAAGAATTTTTTCTGCTGCTTTAGGATGAAATGTTCTGGATATATCTGTTAAGTCCATCCAATCCAGCATGTCATTCAAAGCCCTTGTTTCCTTGTTGATTTTCTGCTTAGATGATCTATCCATTGATATAAGTGGGGTGTTAAAGTCTCCTACTATTATTATTTTATTATTATCAATGAATTCCTTTATGTTTGTTACCAAATGTTTTATATATTTGGGTTCTTTCATGTTGGGGCCATAAATATTTACAAATATTAGATCTTGTTGGATAGACCCCTTTATTATATTATAGTGCCCTTCTTAATCTCTTGTTACAGTCTTTGGCTTAAAATCTAGTTTGTTTGATATAACTATTGCTACTCAGCCTTTCTTTGGACTTCCATTTGCATGGTAAATATTTCTCCATCCCCTCACTTTCAATCTACAGGTATGTTTAAGTTTATTTATTTATTTTTTAAAAATAGTTTATTGTCAAGTTTGTTTCCATATAACACCCAGTATATTTAGGTTTAAAATGAGTCTCTTAGGGGAGCCTGGTGGCTTAGTTGGTTAAGCGTCCGACTTTCGCTTGGGTCATGATCTCACGGTTCGTGGGTTCGAGCCCCGCGTCGGGCTCTGTGCTGACTGCCAGCTCAGAGCCTGGAGCCTGTTTCAGTCTGTGACTCCCTCTCTCTCTGACCCTCCCCTGCTCACGCTGTCTCTCTCTCTCCTAGAAATAAATAAAAACATTAAAAAAATGTTTAAATGAGTCTCTTATAGGCAGCATATAGATGGGTCTTGATTTTTTTTTTGTTAAGTTTATTTATTAATTTTTTTTTGTTCTCCTCATCCTTTTTATTTTTTATTTTTTTTTACAAATAGTTTATTGTCAAATTAGTTTCTACATAACACTCAGTGCTCATCCCCAAAGTGGTCTTGATTTTTTTAATCCATTCTGACACCTATGTCTTTTTATTGGAGCGTTTAGTCCATTGAAATTCAGAGTAATTATTGATAGATATGACTTTAGTGCTATTTTATTATTTGTTTTTTCATTGTTTCTGGAAATATTCTTTGTTTCTTTCTAGTTTGTCACTTTTGGTCTATCTTTCCCACTCAGAGAATCCCGTTTTATAGTTCTTGCAGGGCTAGTTTAGTGATCAAAACTCCTTCAGTCTTTTGTTTTGTTTTGTTGTTTTTTGTTTGTTTGTTTTGGTCTGGGAAACTCTTTCTCTAGCCTTTTATTCTAAATGATAGCCTTGCTTGATAGAATATACATGGCTGCATATTGTTCTCATTCAGCATGTTGAATGTATCATGTCCTCCCTTCTGGCCTGTGAAGTTTTTGTGAACAAATCTGCTGCTACACTTATTTGTCTTTCTTTGTAAGTTGAGGACTTCTTTTGTCTTGCTGCTGTGTGATTTTTTTATATCTATATTTTGGAAATTTAACAACCATATGTGTTGTTGGTGGTTTTCTTTTGTTGATTTTGATGGGAGTTCTATGAGTTTCCTGGATTTGGTTATCTATTTCCTTCCCTAGATTAGGGAAGTTTTCAGCTATAATCTCCTTGAAAAACCTTCTGCCCCCATTCCCTCTTTTCTTCTTTGGGACCCCTATGATCCAAATGTTATTACTCTTTATGGAGTCATTGAGTTCTTTAAGTCTACTTTTGTGATCCAATATTTTTCTTTCCCTCTTTTATCTTCATTATTTTCCAGAATTTTATCTTCTATATCACATATTTTCTCTGTTTCTTCCATTCTTGTCATCATTACCACCATTGGTTTTGCATCTCGGTTATGGCTTTTTTTTTTTCGCCTTACCTTTTTTGGTCTTTTATCTCTGCAGCAAGGAACACCCTGGTGTCTTCTATGATTTTATTCTGCCCAGCTCGTATCTTTATGATTTTTGCTTTAAATTCTGGGTCAAGTATACATTACTTACATCTGTTTTCAATAGATCCCTGGCCATGACCTTTTCTTATTCATTCTTTTGGGGTGAATTCCTCCATCATGGCTTATTGTCTAGGTCTCTGTGTTCTTTTCTGTGTTAGGAAAGCCTGTTTACTGCTCCTAAGAGTAATGGCTTTATAAAGTAGAGGGTATATACTCTCCAGGGCCTTGCCCTTCAAAAACTATCAATGGTGTATGCTGTGTGTACTCTGCTGCTGTGTTTTGCCTGCTTTTTCCTTCAAGTCAGTCCTGTACAAAGTTTCTCCTTGCCTTCAGTGGGGATTGTTTGGACCCTGTCTAGAGTGTGGTGAGTTTTAACAGGCTTGCTCTGGTCTGCTTCTTAAAAGAAACCTAATGCTCTTTCTACTAGAGCTGATGTTTTGCAGAACACTATAGTCTGTGGACATAAGTGTCTGTGGTGGTTTTGTGATGGTCTTTGGGGAAGGGGCCCACAGATTTGGTTCTCAGGCACACTTGCCTGAGAAAAGCAGCACCTGCAGAGGACAGGGTTGTGTGGTTTCGTGTAAGTAGTTTGGGCCGCCATTGTTGGTGCTGTGCTGCTTACTGAAGTTTATACTGAGGGGCAGAGGGGAGAAATGGTGCCAGCCTACTCCCACATCCTGGAGTTCACACCCACACTTTTCTGGGTGGCCCTCCCAGAAGAGCAGTTTCCCCTCATGTGTCCCAGGCATACCTCTGATCCCTGCCTTCACCCTGTCTGTATCTGGGTCATCTGCCCACCTGGCAGTGTAGTGAGTGCACCTATGTTGTATTCCAGGCAGGCTGGCTGAGTTTTTAAACAATAAACATTAGGAATCTGGCATGGTGGAGATCTTCCCTGGTCCTCTGGAGGAAGATCTCACTGTACTGTGACTGAAGCAGGTTTATCCCATTAGGACAGTCACACCAAAGTGTAGAGGCATGGATTTTGCCATGAAGTACAGCAAAGAGCCGTGTCCATGTTAGTCATCCTCAGCAAGTGTCCCTCTGTTGAGGGATGAGACAGGGTAATGTTATTTGCAGGAACTTGCATCCCTGAAGATGCAATGCCATCTTTCCCAGATGCATTACAAGAAGGGGGAAATGTCTCTCTCAGTGAGACCCAGAGGATGCTGTGATCACGCCATCTGGTATAGACTATCTGCCCTCCTTCTCCATAGGAACACTGCAGCACCTACTGAGCTCCCCACCAGTCACAACATGGACCACTAAAAGTGAGCCCTCCTGGTTGTGAAAACTCATGAAAATAATTTCCTCTGGTTTTCCAAGTCAGTGACTTTGGGGAAGTGTTTTCCTTGTGTGAATCCCTGTGTGCTTATCTCTTGCTCTCTCGCTCTCTATCTCTCTCCTGTCTCCATGACCAGGATTCCCTCCACTCTGAAGCAATCACAATCCTTTTCTCCCCCACATCTTGTCTCTGCACCTCCTACCTTCCACGATGTGGCCTCCTCTCTCCCTCTAGTTGTGCAGTTTGTTCTGTCAGTCTCATATAGATTTCTTGGGTATTCAGAAGGAATTGATATTTATCTAGCCACTGTCAAGGTACAAGGCAAACCTAGGTCCTCCTAACTTTGACATTTTAGCTCCTCAGTGCTATCTGGGTTTTTTGGTGGAGTCTTCCTAGATTTTCTATATAGAGTATCATGTCTCTGAAAATAGTGAAATTTTACTTCTTTCTTGCTGATTTGGGTGACTTTTATTTCTTTTTGTTGTCTGATTATTGAGAATAGGAGTTCCAGTACTATGTTAAATAATAGTGGTGAGAGTGAGGGGCGCCTGGATGGCTCAGGCGGTTGGGCGGCCGACTTCGGCTTGGGTCATGATCTCATGGTTTGTGGGTTTGAGCCTCACGTCGGGCTCTGTGCTGACAGCCATCTCAGAGCCTGGAGTCTGTTTCAGATTCTGTGTCTCCCTCTCTCTCTGACTCTCCCATTCTCATGCTGTCTCTCTTTCAGAAATTTAAAAAAAAAAAAATAGTGGTGAGAGTGGACATCCCTGTCTTGTTCCTGACCAAAGAGGAAAAACTGTTTTTCCCCATTGAATATGATGCTAGTTGTGAATTTTAAATAGATGGCCTTTATGATATTGAGGCATGTTCTTCTAAACCTACTTTATTGAACGTTTTATCCTGAATGGATGTGATACCTTGTCAAATGTATTTTCTGCATCTATTCTAATGATCATATGGTTCTTATCCTTTCTTTTATTAATGTGGTGTATTTGTGAATACTGAAGCACCCTTGCAACTCATGAATAAATCCCAGTTGGTCATGGTGAATTATTCCTTTAATGTATTGTTAGATTCAGTTTGCTAGTATTTTATTGAGAAATTTTGCATCCATGTTCATCATGGATATTGGCCTGTAGTTCTCTTTCTCAGTGGAGTCTTTATCTGGTTTTGGTATCAGGGTAACATTGGCATCATGGAATGAATTTGGAAGTTGTCTTTCCTTTTCTATGTTTTGGAATAGTTTAATAAGAATAGGTATTAACTCTTCTTTAAATGGTAGAATTCCCCTGTGACTCCATCTGGCCTTGGAATTTTGTTTATAGGGAAATTTTTGATTACTAATTCATTTTTTTGTTGGGTTATCAGTCTATTTAAGTTTTCTTCTTCCTGTTTCAGTTTTTGTAGTTTATATGTTTTTAGGGATTTATCTATTTCTTCTAAGTTCTCCCATTTGTTGGCATATAGTTTTTCATAATATTCTCTTATTACTATTTGTGTTTCTGTGGTGGTAGCTGTTATTTCTCCTCTCTCATTTGTGATTTTTCTTCTTGCTGTTCCTTTTTCTTGTCTTTTTGATACATCTGGCTAGAGGTTTATCAATTTTATTAGTTTTTACAAAGAATCACCTTCTGGTTCTATTGATCTGTTCTGTATTTTTTCAGTTTCTATATCAATTATTTCTCCTCTCATCATTATTCTTTCCTTCCTTGTACTGGCTTTGTATGTTGTTCTTTTTGTAGTTCCCTTAAGTGTAGGATTACGTTTTTTTATGTGATATTGTTTCTTGCTTCTTAAGTTAGACCTGTATTGCTATATATATCCCTCTTGGGACTGCTTTTGCTGCCTTCCAAAGGTTTTGGAGCATCATGTTTTCATCTTCATTTGTTTTCATATATATTTTTGTTTTTCTTTTTCCCCTTGATGTTTAATCTATTTGTATTTGTGGTCTTTCTAAATTTTTTCCTGAGATGATTCCAAGTTTCATAGTGTTGTGGTCAGAACAGTTGCATGATATGATCTCAATCTTTTTGTGTTTTTTTAGGCCTGATTTTTGACCTAGTATTTGATCTATTCTGTAGAATGTCCCATGTGCTCTTGAAATAATGTGTATTCTGCTTTCTTGGGATGGAATGTTCTGAATATATATGTTAGGTTCATCTGGTCCAGTGTGTCATTCAAAGCCATTGTTTTCTTGTTTATTTTCTGTTTAGTTGATTGGTATCTTGAAGTAAGTGGTGTGTTAACGTCCTCTACTATTACTGTGTTATTATCCAATAGTTCCTTTATGTTTGTAACTAAATGTTACTACATATTTGAGTGCTTCCATTTTCGGTGCACAAATGTTTACAATTTTAGGTCTTATTGTTGGACAGACCCTTTTATTATGATATAGTACCCTTCTTCATCTCTTGTTATGGTCTTTGGTTTAAAGTCTACTTTGTCCAATATACGTATTGCTCCTCTGGCTTTCTTTTGACATCTTTTTGTGTGGTAAATATTTCTCCATCCCCTCACTTTCAATCTGCAGGTGTCTTTAGGTCTAGAATGAGTCCCTTGTAGGCAGCATATACATGGTATTGTTTTTTTAAATCTATTCTGACACTATGTATTTTGATTGGAGCATTTAGTCCATTTACATTTAGAGTAATTATTGATAAATATATATTTTGTGCCATTTTATTACTTGTTTTGTCATTGTTCTTGGAGATTTTCTCTGACATTATCTTTTCTTGTCTTTTTCACTTTTGGCTTTCTTATCCAAAGAGTCCCCTTTACTTAAATATTTCTTGCAGGGCAGGTTTATTGGTCATAAATCCTTTAGTTTTTGCTTGTCTGGGAAACTCTTTATCTCTCCTTCTATTCTGAATGATAACCTTACTGGATAGAGTATTCTTGTCTTCAGATTTTCCCCATTCAGCACTTTGAATATATCCTGCCACTCCTTTCTGTCTTGCCACCTTTCTGTTGAGAAATTTCGAGCTAGCCTTATTGGTCTTCCTTGTAAGCAAATGACTTCTTTTGTTTTACTGCTTTTAAGGTTTTTTCTTTATCAGTATATTTTCCAAATTTTATTACAATATATGTCAGTGTTGGCCTGCAATTGCTGATTTTGATGAGAGTTCTCTGTGCCTCCTGAATCTAGATGTCTTTCCTTTCCCAGATTAGGGAAGTTTTCAGCTATTATTTCTTCAAATAAATTTTCTACCACATTTTCTCTCAGTTCTTGTTCTGGGACTCCTATAATATGAATGTTACTCTGTTTGATGTAGTCATTGAGATCCCTAAGTCCATTGTCATGTTCCAGAAGTCTTCTCTCCTACTTTAATTCAGCTTTATTATTTTCCATTATATTATGTTCAATATCACTAATTCATTTCTCTGCTTCTTCAGCCTGTTGTTCATCACATCAAGCCTGTTTCCAATCTTATTTATTGCATTTTTCATTTCTGATTGATTCTTTTTAAATTCTTTTATCTCTGCAGTAAGGGTCTCCCTGATGTCTTCTATTCTTTTCTCAAGCCCAGTGAGTATCCTTTTGATTGTTGCTTGAAATTCTCATTCAATCATCTTACTTATATCTGTTTTTCTTAGATCCCTGGCCATGGCCTTATCTTGGTCTCTCATTTGGGATGAATTCTTCCATTTTGGCATTTTGTCTAAGTCTCTGCCTTTTTCTGTGTGTTAGCAAACCCAGTTATGTCTCCTGCTCTTGAAACTAATGCACCCATTTCAACTTT